TGCTGAGGTGGAGCGGGAGCCAGGGAACAAGGCAGGGAGGTGCCAGAGATGAGCCCCAGGGCACAGGTGGACTAGCGGGGAGGGAGGCACAGTCTTCCTGGAGGGAACCTGGGAACCTCTGCCCAGAGGTGACCCTCCACCCTCCAGGAGCTGGTGGAGGAGCCCTGTACCTGCAAACCCAGATCTGCAGTTTTCTGGACACTCAGAGCCACAGGGTTGGGTAGACATGTAAGCTCCGCCCCCAGCAGCTAACCTTGCCTGTGGATGTGGACAGGGAGAGAGGACCTGGGAACCCGAGGCTGTGCTGGGAGGAGGCTCATTCTCCCAGCGTCTCTTGTTTGCTTCCCGGTCTCACCTGTTAGGCTTAAAGCCAGACCCCGGGTCCTGGACGGCCGGGTCCTGGACACGTGAGCTGGGCTCAGCGGCCTTACCCCCAGGGGCTCCTCTCCTCTAGCACCAGCTTAAAGCCAGACCCCGGGAGACAGCCGGGTCCTGGATGGCCGGGTCCTGGACACGTGAGCTGGGCTCAGCGGCCTGACCCCCAGGGGCTCCTCTCCTCTAGCACCAGCTTAAAGCCAGACCCCGGGTCCTGGACGGCCGGGTCCTGGACACGTGAGCTGGGCTCAGTGGCCTTACCCCCAGGGGCTCCTCTCCTCTAGCACCAGCTTAAAGCCAGACCCCGGGTCCTGGACGGCCGGGTCCTGGATGGCCGGGTCCTGGACGGCCGGGTCCTGGACACGTGAGCTGGGCTCAGCGGCCTTACCCCCAGGGGCTCCTCTCCTCTAGCACCACCCAGGAGGGAGAGGGGGTCCTGGAGGAGAGTGGCCACGGAGAGGCTGCAGAGGCCGTGAGGAAACACCAAGCAGCATTGGAGCTGTTCTGAGAGTGCCGGGAACAGAGGGCCGCCTTTAGCCTGGGGCTGTGCGTAACTAACTCTCCATTCCCCACGGCGTGGAGCCCGGATGCAGCTGTGATTTCTGTGATTTCTTGGTGAGTGCTGAAACTGCCTTCATCCTGGGAAACAGCAGATGGTAGGAGCATCCGCAGCTGGGCAAGTCCCGTCTTTGCTCTGTTCCTCCGTCTCCTTCCCCTATGAAACAGGAATCGTGAAATGTATACACATTTGGAGGGGCTGAGCTGAAGCTGCTCTGTAAATAAGGGCTGCTGGCTCCCTGGCTCCCCACCCCCGCCCTGCTCGGAGGGAGACCCTCCAGGAGGAGGCCTCTCCTGCCGTCTGTTGGCGATGGCACTGCTTCAGGGTGTGGAGCTGACGCCGGGGCTTAGGATGAGTTCCTGGGGGCACGTTGAGATCAGGGTCACTTGGCCCATGGACAGAGGAGGGGCCTAGCTCAGGGGCCGGTCTTCACTCCTGAGGGAGTGCCTCTCTGGTGTAAAGAACTTGAGAGCGCTCTTCGGGAAGGGAACGAAGGCAGTGGCGTAATGGAAGTGGAATGAGAGACCGTTTGGCGGCCCCTCCACTCAAAGCCCCTCCAAGGACGCACGTGGTGTCTTCAGCCCTTGGCCTTGGGATCCTGGAACAAAGGCACTTCGGGGAGCAGCAGAGCCATCGCTGGATTCTGATAGCGGTAGCTAGGAGTGGGACCCCCACCCAACGCTCACAACGGAAATCCATCTGTTCATAACAAGCAGGTCTTATTTTTATTTTGTGATGTATTGTTTAGTTTTCAAAGTGCTGTTAAATACGTTGCTTCATTCTGATGTTCAAAGTCCCGTGCTAGGGGTAGATTGCGTGGCAGCAGCCCCGGTGTCAAGCAGGGTGAGCCGAAGCTCTGAGAAGTGAAGGTCACGGTCCCCCAGCAGACGGTGGGGGAGCCAGGACCAAAACCAGGCGCTGTCTCCAACACACGGCCGGAAAGACAGGAGACGCCACAGTGGGGATTTGGCTGCAGGCTTTGCCCTCCTCGAATAACTGAGGAGTGAAGAGATCTAGGGGTCAAGTTAGAGGCTGGCTGAGCAAGTCGAGGCAGGGAGAGCCAGGGGTAGGAAGCAGGAAGTGAGGAGGGAAGTGGTGGAAGCTTGCATGGACACTTCCTGCTCACAAACTTCTTATGGTCCTCATTTCATTAACAGCAGCAGCGGAATTTCATGGGCAATTGGCACTGAGCACTAACTGGGAGGTAATGAGAGGATGCAGGTAAAGGCTGTTTGAATTTAAATTCTTTTTCTTCAGGGGGGAAGAAGGGGGGCAGATTTTAGTGCTGGAAAAGTTTTTAGCAAATAGCTTTGGACTTTTGCGTCCCCAGTGGCAGCGTTAGGAGTGTCGCAGCCCACCGTGTCCTGCCCACCAACGCCTGCTGGCTGCCCCAGTGAGGGGCGCCGAGGGCCTGGGTGTCTGACCGTAGGTCGATTTTGTCCCTCAGACTTGGGAAAACACACCAGAAATATGTCCACCATCAGTGAGCTAGAGTGAGTTGCTCTGTGATAGTTATTGCAGAATCGCCATGAGCAACACTCTGTGTGGAGCTGGGCAGAGATGAGGGATGAACTAGAACTAGAAAGCAGGATTACTGTTCTGGGAGTGTGTGATCTACACGACAAGTGATGCACCTGTACGCACACACACTCGGCCGCAGAACACTCAACGGGAGAAGGATGAAAGGTAACACAAGACTAAAGATGGAGGAGAGGGCGAGTCATGAGGTGACAAGGTGAAAAGGGCTGGAGGAAGGAGGCTGTTTTGAGAGGACTCTCAGAGAGTGACACACTGTTGGGTGAAAGTTTGGTGAAACTGCAGGGCTCGGATGGAAATACAGCCCCTCCTTGAGGAGGGCGGCCAGCAGGCGGGTGGCGGGGTTAGAGACTGTCGTGGGAAGCAATGGACACGAAGAAAGTCAAGTGCGAGAGGAGGGGAACTGTGCGGAAGCTGGAGTCCTAGTCGTATGAGTCAGGACAAGAAGCCAGTGCCACTGCTGTCAAATAGGAGAACCAGTGCAAACCTGGCTACGAACAAGTATGAGCCAGAAATTGATCAGTTACCCAAGCGCCAGGTGACCCGGGCTCCTTTGTACAGGACGAGCAGCTGTGGGCAGAGAGGGGGTGCTAAGGAGCCATGATGGTTAATTTTGTGTGTCCACTTGGTGAGGCCACAGCACCGAGATATTTGGTTAAACATTCTAGATGTTTATGTGAAGGTGTTTTTTGCAGATGGGATTAACATTTGACTAAAACAGATTATTCTGCAGAAGGTGAGCGGCCTCATCCAATCATTTGAAGGCCTGAAGAGGACAAGACTGACCTGTGCAGCCGGGGAGTCTGCCAGCAGGGAGCTGCGGGACTTGAGCTCTGCTCCTCCCTGGTCTCAAGCCTGTAGATTTCGGATTTGCTAGTCTCCACAACCTCCTCAGTGTCGTGCGCTGAACTGTGTCTCCTCAAAATTTATATGTTAAAGTCCTAACCCCCAGTGTCCCGCAATGTCACTGTATTTGGGCCCTTAGAAAAGGAATTAAAGTGCAGTGAGATCATGAGCATGGATCTTAGTCCAATATAACTAGTGTCCGTGTAGGACGAGGAATCACGGACAGACACACGCAGAGAGACCACGTGAAGACACGGGGAGAGGACGGCCATCGACAAGCCAAGGAGACAGGCCTCAGAGGAAGCCAACCCTGCCAGTGCCTCGCTCTCAGACTCCCGGCATCCAGAGCTGTAGAAAATAATCTTTGCCTCAGCTCCCCGTCGGTGGCACTTTGTTATGGAAGCCCAGCAGACTGACGCGGGACAGCAGATTATAAAGCCCAGGAAGCCAAGGGCCACGCATTCAGCCGTGCCCCAGCTCAGGCCCTTCCGCGTGGTGTGTGGCCTGCGCCTGGACGCCGTGGCACTGGACCCCCTCCAGCAGTGACACACTGGCCGCTGAGGCGGCACAGGGCGCGAGCTGCAGGACGCGGGTGTGCTGGAGGTTTTTGTTCTGCTGATACAAGGTTGACCTCAGGAGTCAAGTCAAGCGAAGGATGATCTCTGGCTAACTTCTTTTGTACTTTCCGGGGTGCTTAACAATGCCCAGAACTTCACTGACACGCAGTAAAGGTTTTGTTGAACGAATAACCGAGTAGGTGAGCACGACAGGGAGATGGGGGGATCTTAGACTTGCAAAAAACAAACAAAAACTGCTAAAACGTGCATATATGTTGTATGTACCTAGAAGTTTTCTGAAAGAGATTGCTAACATTTGGGGAGTGAACTGGGATAAGAAAGCAGGTTTTTCCCTGTATGCCTCGTACCGTTCATACATTGTCATCATGACTACATTATTCCTGGGTCACGCAACACATTGCTGACTCGCACTTTTACGCAGAAGTTATCTCAGGTCGCCGGCTATTTTTTCGTAATTGAGTATGAAGCTGAAACAATCTAAATAAACTTCAGTATACTTTATTTATACATAATGAATTTAAATGAAAGTTTGTACATACCTGCTATATATTATATTTTATGCACACTATATATTTTAGTGATTTTTTCGTGTGGCGTACTGTGTAGCGACCACCTATGTGGAACGATGCGCAACATGCTTTGCGAACATACCTGGTTTTGCTGCGCTTTCATGTAGGGATAACTCTGCTTAGGTGCAGGCAAAGACTGAAATTTTGGAAGAAAGTAATCCAGAAGAGGCCTAATTTGATACAGTCTGTCTTCATTAGATGATTTCATGAATTATCACTAAGATGGGGAAATGTAAGACTTTGCTTGAACCTCATTCTGCTCATAGTTTCAGGAAATATTGGGGCTTCAACCAAAGTGTCTGTTGACCAGTCATTCCTCCAATGTGATTTTTTTGTTTGTCCCATCAGTATCAACAGACCGAGAAACTTCTTTACGGGCTAACTCGTAGGCGGCCAACAATGACAGCTCGCCGGGAGTGCGTACCTGGGCCGAGTGACAGAGGCGACAGGCTGGGGCTTTAAACCATTCCTGTCCTCTGACCTCCCCACAGAAGGTGTGCAGCCCCCGGGAGCCCCGCGGGCGCCCGGCCTCTGCCTTCACCAGCAGCCCCACCGCGCCCAGAGGGCGCCCAGGGAGGTGGCGAAGAGCCCCAGCACGACAAGGTAGCCTTGGAAGAGCAGCCGGTCCACGCGTCCCAGGATGGCCAGCCACCTGACCTCCTGCTGGTCCGCCTGCTCCTGGGTTTGGAAGTAGTTGCTGATGGATTGAAGCTGGGACAGGACTTCCTTTAGGGTCCCTGACTGGGCCTGGTGCTCTTGACAGACTGGGGACTCTGCATGAGAGAGGAAGACACCCCAGGTCAACCAGGGACTACCAAGGCCACCCGCCCCTGGACTTCCCCTGGAGGCCGATGGCCTCATCCTTAAAGGAAGGTTGTGGGCAAAACTGGGCCGTGGGTTGAGTTGGGGACTCTGTCCCTCCCTACTGAGGGGAGGCAAGTCTGTGCTGAATGAAGTCCCGGAGGGCATGTGTGACTAGTGTCTAGGCTAGACCCTCCCAGGAGGCTTTCTGAGCTAGGGGCCAGCCCACGTGGGCTCAGCTGGAACTTCAGTGGCTGAGATGACTCTTAAACCTTTTTACATTAGGCAACTACAATCCAAAGCTATACATATACTCTGTGTGTGTGTGTGTGTGTACCCAATCCAAAGCTATACATACACTGTGTATATGTGTGTGTGTGTGTGCCCAATCCAGAGCTATACATACACTGTGTATGTGTGTGTGTGCCCAATCCAAAGCTATACATACACTGTGTGTGTGTGTGCCCAATCCAAAGCTATACATACACTGTGTGTGTGTGTGTGTGTGCGCGCCCAATCCAAAGCTATACATACACTGTGTGTGTGTGTGTGTGCGCCCAATCCAAAGCTATACATACACTGTGTATATGTGTGTGTGCCCAATCCAAAGCTATACATACACTGTGTGTGTGTGTGCGCGCGCGCACGCATGTGTGTGCTCCTAGAAAATAAAACAAGCTGAGGGAATTGAGGACCTGACCTCCAAGCTGAACTGAAACTTTCTGGGAAGCCAGCAGGGGGTGGTGACCTCCAGAGGTCATGTAAAATGAGCACAGGGCTAAGAAGCAGACGTTTCAGACTGTCCACAGCCCAGCCACAGCCTGGCGCCCCCCGTGGGAACTGGTGCCGAGGGGGCTTCAAGGCTTCTCACAGACCTGTCACCCCGTCCAGGTGGGCCCTGGGATCCAGGCTAAGCCCATCAGCATCAGTGTCCCCTCGAAGGTACAAGAGGGGCCGCTCCTGCCCACTGCGCTGCTCGTAGTGAAGGAGTTTGACCAACAAGATGGACTTAGCCAAGCTGAGAACCAAGAAGGCCATGCAGACGGTGAAGAAGACTCCTGAGGGAGGGAACCAGAGGAGGTGGGGTTAGCCGGAGTCTCGGAGGCCTCTCCCTCCCAGATCTGAAATGCACCAGCAGGTTTTGCCAGATGTCATGCAAAATAGTGGCAGGTGACCCCAAGGCTGCTTACCAATCAGAGGGGTGCTCATTGTGCTCTGTGGCATCTCCCCAGACATGTTGACCCTGAAGACGGTGTAGCCCACCAGCACACTGGTCTTGAACACTATCCTGGCTCGGCAGGTGGGTGGTATGTAGAAGCTCCCCAGGTCCACAAGCATGAGGAAGATGCTGGGAATCATCAGGCTCACGATGTAGACCTGTGGGTGTCTGCGAATCACCACCTGGCCAGGGACAACAGGTCTGTTGAAAAAGGGTCTAAGCTCATGGACTAACATTTGGTCAAAACCATAGCCAAGAACATGCCCTGAAGTCCCAACAGTTTTGCCTAATGTGAAAAGTCTGTAGTTTAGAAATAGGATACTACTTTGTAGTCTAGGAAGTAGAAAAAAATCCTTTTTTTTTTTTTTATAACATAGAGCTGATATTAATATTAGTAACGATTATATAATGAGAAGAAGTTACATTTGCCTTCCACCTGCTGTTTGCTAGGCACCGGACAGTTTCCCATGTTTTGTCTTAGCCAATCCTCACAGCGACTCTGAGGACTGGCCATTATTATCTCATGGGAAACCGAGGTTCATAGAGATAAAATTGCTTGTCTAAGCTCACGTAGCTGCTGAGTGAGAAACTGTTTTAAAACTGGGTCTTACTGCAAAATCTTTCTTCTTAAACCACTCACTATACAACATATTGTAGTGTTTTTGTTTAGTCTGTCTTCTTACTCGGAATGCGAGCTTCTTCGCCCCTGTGAGTGTATCCACGGGAGTCTGGGCAGGGCAAAGCTTATATAACTGGAAAATCTGAGGAGGGCCTAATAAAGAGGCTGCTTACAAGGTATGGGTAGGGCATCGGAAACCACAAGCCCCCGGGATCTGGGGGCACTGGGTGAGCTGTTCTACCCTCAGCCTGAAGGGACCCGAGGAGAGCTGTGTGAGAGGACTGTGAACAGACGTGGCTTCCTCGTAGGGACAAAGCCAGCCTGGTAGTGCCTCCACAGAGGACAATGGAGGGATAAGCACCCACTTGCTCCAACCTTCTGCCACAGCCCCCTGGTGGCCAAACATGGCCAAGGATCCCATCTCTGAGGCTACAGCTCAGTGGTCTGGAGCGGGGAGAAGGGAAAGTGGGTCTGTGGCAGGGGCGGCTGAACGAGAGGTCGGCGTGGCCTGCGGCGTGGCTGACACACGGGGCGGCTGAACGCAGAGGTCGGCGTGGCCAGCACACGGGGCGGCTGAACACAGAGGTCGGCGTGGCTGGCACACGGGGTGGCTGAACGAGAGGTCGGCGTGGCCTGCGGCGTGGCTGACACACGGGGCGGCTGAACGCAGAGGTCGGCGTGGCTGGCACACGGGGTGGCTGAACGCAGAGGTCGGCGTGGCTGACACACGGGGCGGCTGAACGCAGAGGTCGGTGTGGCCTGCGGTGTGACTGGCACACGGGGCGGCTGAACGAGAGGTCGGCGTGGCCTGCGGCGTGGCCGGCACATGGGGCGGCTGAACGCAGAGGTCGGCGTGGCCTGCGGCGTGGCCGGCACATGGGGCGGCTGAACGCAGAGGTCGGCGTGGCCTGTGGCGTGGCTGGCACACGGGGCGGCTGAACGAGAGGTCGGCGTGGCCTGCAGCGTGGCTGGCACACGGGGCGGCTGAACGAGAGGTCGGCGTGGCCTGCGGCGTGGCCGGCACTCGGGGCGGCTGAGTGAGTTTTGTAGCTGGGAATTTGAGTCGCATGAAATCACTGTGATTATTGTTGCCTTTTTTTTTTTTTTTTCATTTCTCTGGGATGGTGACAGGAAGTGTCTTTAACAAACATAGACTGTTCTCCTCCTTCCTGGGGAGACACCGGGATGCCTGGCCGCTGTCCTCACCAGACGTGGAAGCAGTACCTTTGTTCCGTCGCCCACAGAGCCAGAAGGAACACCTGGGGATTCCATGAGCATTCACTGGACAGATGAAGGGTCCGGGCCCTGCACTGCTGGGTTTGGAGAAAACAATGTCTGAAACTTCCCGTTTCTGATTCTCAAAGAAGCGGAAAGTCTCTGCACGTCGGAGCGCGCTCGGAGCTTACGCACACGATGCGATCTATTGAAGCCTCGTGCGACCTTGCGGCAGGTGACATGATGGCCCCACTTCGTGGATTTCAACAAATGAAGCTCAGCCCTGTAAGTATGCCGAGTAAGGGACAGAGCTGGGACGTGCCCCCACGTCTCCTGATGCCAAGCCCGGCGATCTGGCCAGAGATCTGGGGTGAGTTCAGGGCTCTTCTCCCTCCTATCCGGCTCCTGCTCTGGAAGAGAATCATCTAGAAATAAGCCAAGACAGGCCAGGGAAGGGGCAGACGGCGGCAGGGGAAGAGCTGGCCGGGCTGAGGCCGGACACCACCTTGTGGAGAGGGCAGAGCCCACCCCGCCCCGGGTCTGAGAGCACCCCTCAAGGAGCCCCGGGTCTGAGAGCACCCCTCGAGGAGCCCCGGGTCTGAGAGCACCCCTCGAGGAGCCCCGGGTCTGAGAGCACCCCTCGAGGAGCCCCGGGTCTGAGAGCACCCGCCGAGGAGCCCCGGGTCTGAGAGCACCCGCCGAGGAGCCCCGGGTCTGAGAGCACCCCTCGTGGAGCCCCGGGTCTGAGAGCACCCCTCGAGGAGCCCCGGGTCTGAGAGCACCCTCGAGGAGCCCCGGGTCTGAGAGCACCCCTCGAGGAGCCCCGGGTCTGAGAGCACCCCTCGAGGAGCCCCGGGTCTGAGAGCACCCCTCGAGGACCCCCGGGTCTGAGAGCACCCGCCGAGGAGCCCCGGGTCTGAGAGCACCCGCCGAGGAGCCCGGCAGGCCGAACGTTCAGTGGATTGCAGTCTGGCGTTGTCTTTCACATTAAACATAATTGGCTGCAGATATCTAAACCAGAGCAGCGCTTACTGCTTTGCAATAATTTGGTTAAAACACATTTCTACCAAAGTGCAATCAACAGCAAAACAACAAAACAAACTAGATCAACCTGCACCTCCCTAGCTCCCTTCATCACGCTGTGACCGAGCGGGCTGTGCTTGGTGGGGGCAGGGAGCCCCGTGGGCAGAGTGCACGGGGTCCTGGAGGGTGGGCCAGGCTAGCCTTTTGGTGATCTAGACATATGGAAGGGGGTGGTGGGCATGACTAAGCCTGTGGTCTCAGGAGGGCAGAAGCAGAAGACTCCCTAGAGGCGTCATGGTGGATAGCACATGAAGGGGATGAAGAGGATAAGAATTCCACCCGAAAGAAAAGCACAGGTGGGCACATTGGGGGAGCAGAAAGAGTCCAGATGAAGTCAATGGAACAGGGTCCCAGAGCCCCTCGGCTCCAGGTGCTGGCAGGTGCGCGTTTCAGTGATCCCAGGTGAGGCATCTAACCTCTCCATGCCTGATTTCTGCTTTTGCAAAGAGCTCTCGCCAAACGTCTTGAGCTCTCGCCAAACATCTTGGGTACAATTGAGATTCGCTGTTGTACTCTTTAGATAAAGTTCTGTGTAAACAGCATGTGCTGAGATGACTCCCCGGACCCAGAGGCTGATGCAGAGAATGAGTGTAAATCTGAGCCGGGACCGAGGATGGGCAGTGTGGCTTCTCAGGGCCCCTGATCTCCGAGAAAGTGCCATTGCTGGGGCAGAGATGTGACGAGAGCGAGGCGGCGGGGAGGCGGGTGGCTGCATGGGCACGGGGCGTGTGCCGTTGCACAGAGTCGCACATTTAAAAGGCCCCGCACTGGTGCCATTTTGAAATCGGAATAGTTTTTGAACAAGTGCACTTTGCCCTGGGCCCCACAACGCACGCAGCTAGCCCTGGCGGTGTTCTTCACTGGATCCGCCGTGGCTGCAAGTAGAGGGAAAGCAATAGGAACAGAGAGACAACGAGCTTCTGCCGTAGCCGAAAGCAGAAATCTCTCCCGTCTATGTTTGGCTTATAAAAGTGTAAATCTAGACAAGCCCTCCAAAGCTACCTCATCCATGGTCCTACCTTGAGCAAGGATGTTCCCATTCCTAAGACAGGACCAATAATACCTATACTTTTGGTTTTCTTCAGGAACAAAGGACCTGTCTTTTCCTCTAGGTCGATTTAGGGGCAATGTTACCTATACACTAGGCTAATTTTCTCTACAAGCCCAGTACAGCCTAAAGAAATACTAATTTTATTACCCCGTTTTCAGAAATGCTTTGTTTTTGTGATCTCATTAGATCCTCAAAACCCTTTATTCCCTTGTTCAAGAAAGATTGATTGAGCATGACCAGAGTGGCAGGCTCTGTCCTAAATACTGGAGTCAGGACTGTTAATAGGAAGGTCCCTGTCTGTCTCATGGGGTCAGAAACCAGACTCTGGTGGTTAGATGTTTCACACGTCTACAGATGAAGAGGAAGTTCACCCCAGAATGGACCATAGTCTATGCCTGGTTTAGACGATGAGATTTGGGTCCTTTTGAGTTTATATTTAGATGATATTTTGGTCTTAGAATTGAGGCAGGAATAGATTAAGGTGTTTGGGGATGTTGGGACAGGATGAATGTATTTGGCATGTGGGACAGACATGAATTTTCAGGAGCCAGAGGGTGGTGGACTGCAGTGGGTTGAATAATGAGCCCAAGAATCATGTCCTCCTGGAAGTTCAGAATGTAACCGTATTTGGAAATGGTAGTTAGTTTAGATGAGGTCTCACTGGAGAAGATGTGTCCTTCATTCAATATGACTAGTGTCCTTTTGAGAAGAAGAGAAGAGACACACACAAAGGAGAAGGCCATGTCAAGATGAAGGCAGAGACTGGAGGGCTACCTCTACCAGCCAAGGAAGGCCAGAGCCTGCCAGCAACCTCCAGAGGCCAGGAGAGATTCTCCCCAGAGCACCCAGAAGGAGCCACCCCTGTGGACACCTGGATTTCAGGCTTCTAGCCTCCAGAACATGTTTTGTGAGACAAAACATTTCTGTTGTTTTAAGGCACACTGTCCGTGGTACTTTGTTATGGCAGCTAAGAAACTAAAACCTGTGACTTGCCCAGTAGCACATGGCGGGCAGAGGCCGAAGAGGGGGCTGGAATACCCTACATTGTGTTTAGTTCTCATCATCACCTAGAATTAGGCACGTAGTTTCTCAGGTGAGATGGCCTGGGTTCAAGTCCAGACCCACTCAGCTTCTCTGCGCCCCAATTCATCCGTCTGTAAAAATGCAGATACTTAGAGCACCCATCTCACGTAGGAGTGAGGATGACATGCACA